GTCAACTGTTTTCTGACAAAAGTATTGTTTAAAGTTTTGCAGGCTCTGTGACTACGAAGCTCGCGCGGCCGCGTCAGCCGTCCCGCCGACCTTCTACGAGGTGCCTACCACCGTTGATCTGCCACGTGTTATGATCAGGTAGGCTCCTCTGCTGTGTTCTTAGACCCACAGTGTCACAGAAGCCAGAAAGTTATCTTTATATATTTGCACCAGTGCATCGTAGTCAGCACGGGCAAAGAAGATAATTGGCACCGGCAACTTGACGTTGCTAGCCACCACGCGCACTCCCAAGTGGGACAATCTGAGCTCTATTCCTTCTGGAACGGAGCGTGCGCGGAACCAAGACGAAACCGTCAAAGAATCGACGGTGGAGATTCGAGAGAACCCACAAACTTCCTAGGTGAAGATGTCGGACTTTAAATAGCAGATTTGGGAAGGATCAGGGTATCGACCAGGGTGTTGGTCAGTACGGATGACCTAGCGGGTTACCAGGCTTCCGGCTTGCATTTCCGGTCAGTACCCCACTCGCGCGCTGACGCTCATAAGCCGACCTGAAAGGCTCCAGCTGTACGGGCTGGCCTAGTAGGGCGCATAGTATTGCGGCGGGCTTCGTGCCGTAAGGGGGACCACCGGGGTGTAAGATGATACTCGGATCCAGGCTCAGATTACCGGGTTCGAATCTCGGGGCACCCAAATCTTTTGTTCCGTACGCATGTGCGTTCGTCAAAGGGTGCATGGCTGTGGTAATACAGTCTGTGAGCAGCTAAGTAACATCGATTCCAAGTTATAAGTTTAAACTTGATTAGCCTCGACGTAGGACGAAGTTCAGGGTGAACTACGCCCTGCACTTTTGCTGTCGTACAGGGACTACGTTGACTCCCGTTTATAAGTTTATTGCGAACAAAACTTGCCCGTCTTCGGTCAGTAAGAGGATGGTCTAAAGCCATCCTTTTCCTGATCGATGGCGCCAAACTTTTGCTGAGGTCAGTAATTGGGTTGATAGTTTTGCAAAGGGCAAATCTACAGTCTGTGAACGGTGGTAAGACGCTAGTCTATGACCACGAATCGGACCACACGGACACAGACACTTTTGCCGAGGTCAGCAGGTAGTGCCCCTTCTAACTAACGTTCCGTTACGAAATATAAGTTTATTTCGGAACGTTTGGGGCAGGGCAAATGTGGACTAAAGGGTGGCCTGAGCAGTATGCTCAACGCACTAGACACCCGCACTCCACACAGCCCCCTTTTGCTAACGTTAAGCTATAAGTTTATTTTAACGATACAAATCCGGGTCGACTGGCTCAGCGTTTGAGTAGACCACTCTTACGCTGGGTTCGTCGACTCTTTTTGCAGACATCATAAGTTTGTTATGTCTAACATCCATTAAGTTTGTCCGTAACCAATTCAGTTAAAATTTAAGTTACGCTGTCGAACAATGCTCTGGCTGACGTTGCACAAGTCTGCTGAACTCAGCGTGATTTCATCGGTTACCGATGCGGCAAGGTTCGATTCTATGTAGGATCAACATTTTGCCGTCGATGAAACTTTTTGGTTCCGCGGTAAAATCGGCGTCGCTCGATGCGTCGCGCTGAACCGGAATTAGGCCGGCGGTCACTGTCCACCGTACGATCGGACCCACAAATTTGATATCCACTGGTTCCAGATTTTATAAGGTAAACTTTACAGGCTTGTTCCATGGTACAGGGTGACCAGGAGCAAGCCCGGTGCTGAGTGATGGGCTAGGCAAAGTGCTACAGCCCTCACTCAACGCTGGGCCCCGTCCCTCATTGGCTTGAACCTTTTGCAGCTCTTCGGAGTTTCGCTCTTCAAAAGGGGGGAGGATTGTAACGGCGCTAGCTTTCCAAGCCCTTCGCGGGGATCCCCTGGTAGCTATACGCGCGCGGGTCACGCGGACTTGTGTCATTAACGCGCAGTGCGGCCGCGAGTTAAACCCCG